GCGGCCTCTCCTCTCCTCTGCCGGGATGGGTCGGTCCCGCAGCCGGAGCTCCTCCCGCTCCAAGCACACCAAGAGCTCCAAGCACAACAAGAAGAACCGGAGCCGATCTCGGTCCCGCTCCCGGGAGAAGGAGCGGGCGCGGAAGCGCTCCAAGTCCCGGGAGAGCAAGCGGAACCGGCGCCGCGAGTCCCGGTCCCGCTCCCGCTCCAACACGGCCCCCCCCCCCCGCCGCGACCGGGAGCGGGAGCGCGATCGCGCCTCCTCCCCGCCCGACCGCATCGATATCTTCGGGCGCACGGTGAGCAAGCGCAGCAGCCTGGACGAGAAGCAGAAGCGGGAGGAGGAGGAGAAAAAAGCGGAGTTCGAGCGGCAGCGGAAAATGTGAGCCCCGGGCCTGGGCTGGGGGCTGCAAGGGGGCGGCGGGGTGGGGGGTGAGGGTTAAGGGGGAGGACAGGAGGTGGGCGCTCGGTGCCCCGGTGCCCTTCCCTCCGCGCCTTCCTCCTCCGGACCGGGGCGGTCTGCCACCGGGGCGGAGGCGCTTAGGCCCTCGCAGAGGCCTCGCTGCTGCCTGCTTTCCCGCCATCCTTCCCTTTCCTGCAGCCTCGCTCCCTCAGGTGCCCGAGAAGCCGCCCCCTCGGGGCGCCCCCCCGCCCGCTGGCTCTGCTCCCTTCCGATCTGCCGCCGCTCTCCCTTTTGGGGAGCCGAAGAGCAATCATGTGCAATTTTAGAATGATTGAAACCTTTTACGCTGAGGGGTTTGTTTGGGTTTTCTTTCTTTATATATATATATATATATATTTTATTTTTTTTTTTTATTTTCGTGCCAAATGGGGCAGTGAGACCCGGTGACTCGTTTAGCTTGAAACCTTTTCCAGTGTTCGTAACGGGGAGTGTGGTTATTTATAAAGTCTACAGAGACAGGCAAATTCTGTTTTAATGAGTGTTGGATGTGCGTTAAAGCGTGTAGCAGTGTTGTTAAGTTATGAGAGACCTTTATGCAGCAGAGGTAACAACGGTTTTAAAGGTTCTGATGAAGCGACTCTTGTTCTTTGAATGTTACCCTCGCTCGCTGGAGCACTGAATCCAGAAATAGCACTTGTTTGTGCCTGTGAAGCCACCTAGTTCTGTTAATTCTCAGGTGGAGCTTTGAGTTTTATTTCGGCGATATTGTTCTAATGACATATTAATTGTAGTTCAGAAGGCTTGATCATCCTGAGTTGTCACTTTCATTTTTGTTTGCTGATAGTCTCCTTTGCTAACTTCAGAATTGGACAGCCATGTCATCAAAAACTTGCACAGTAACACACACAGATGTGAAAACGTGGAAGGCTTTTTGAGTTTTTTACGCTAGTTTTGTGGTTTGTACTTTTATTTGGTACCTAAATTGATAAAAATGTTCCATGCATATCTGGGGAGAAGGATTGGAGCGTGCTTAACAATTTGAGAATATACAAATAGTGGATCTTAGTGTTCTGGAGTTATTTTAGTTCATACGTATTCTTTTAAGTATTACGTAAATGGATTTAAAGATTGGAGAGAACATTATGCAAATAACAAAATAAAATATCATCTAACTTAAGATATGAAATTACATTAGTTTTCGTGGAGTTCATTCAGTAATATTAGATGTAGCAACATACATTGCAACTATTTTCTCCCTTAAGTTCTCTATATAAGTTAGCTTTGGAATTTTAAAATACTCGTGAAGTCAGCGTAAGAGGAATATGACATTTGAGTGATATTGGCAACGGAATAGTAAACTTCTGAGGCAGAAACAATATTGGAAATGTTTTGGTATAGATTTTGGTGCTTCCAGAATACACCTTAAATTTCAAAGAGAAAAAGCAATAGAGTACAAAACTTGTATTTGAATAAGTCATCTGTAAATTGTGTTAGATATGTTAATATATACTCATGTTAGGGAAGGAGTACCTTCTTGCTAACTGAATTAAGTAGAGGACAGTTCGTATATTGAAAGTGACTTTCTACTTCTCACATCTGTTTCAAATCCTAATACATAGCCTAATTTCTACTTTTTATTGGAATACTAGTTTTCCATAAAGACCTTGCAAATATGACTTTTTTTTTTTTCCTCAGAAATCTGCTGAGATGTAAGCAGCTTCTCTTCTGCAGATTTTATAAAATCAGCCTTTAAGGAGTAAATGGAACATACTAAAACTATTTTTACATCAGTGGGTTACCTGTTCCTCTGGCATCATGGCTCAGTAGGCCAGGATGATAAACTTATATCTGTAAATAAAATACTGTATTATTACTATATATAGGAATATATATTACTGGTATAAACTACAGAATAAATCATTGGAATTTATATCCATGTTTATAATTTTATTTTCTTGATAAACTCAAAGACATTGATTTGAAGTATATTATCATTGTCCATAGGCACAAGTTGGTCTTAAAAATCAACTTTGAGAATTAACTTTTACTTTATTCTATTTCACTTCTTTCTAGTGTTTCAAGAAATGTGGTTGCTTACACTGAACAGTTATTTCATATTTGTTATTTTGTTATTGCCTATGAATGTGAAAAGATACTTTCTTGATTTAATTAAATTCGGAGTGAGAAGAATGAAACGTATGCAGACACGGTGCTTAATTTGAGTACATCATTGATTGCTGAGGATATTTAAAAACTTATTTCAGACATGAGTGTTGGGTTGGGTTTTTTTTACAACTATGTACTATCTTTAACCAGTTAGCTAACTTTTGTTCTAGATTTCCCTAATGTTAAATGTAAAGCTGAAGTAGTTGAATAAAACACATGAATATGAGCTTTCTGAAAAACTATTTCTGTAGAACAGCCTCTTACGTAGCTGAAAGCTGTATCAGTACAGGACGGTGAGAGTACTTGCTGCTGAATAAATACCCATAAGAGGGAAGAAAAACCTTTAAAAATAAAAGGCTACTTTGTATATAAAGGGTGTTTAAAAATTCTTTTTTTTTTTAAACTTCTGACCCCTCCCCCACCTTCTGTCCAAGAAGGGTGGTAGGTAGTAGTGGCTTGGCAGCGACACACTAACAGAATGGGGCTGATGCGTTTTTCTGGATGGCGGAGGTCTTGGGTTTTTGCTTTTCTGAAAAAATCGCCTCCAGATAGTTTGTGTCGCTTTAGGAAAAGCGAACGCTGGCCTAATGTGTCACTGAATAAGTCATCTATCTCTTAAGGAGGGGAAGAATAAAAAATTTGTCTTTTGGGGGTGAATGTTTAAGTTGGGGGTTCCAAAACTTTTTACTGAAGGAGCTAGACTATCCACTGTGTTCAGCATGCTTTTGAAAAAGATATGTATCAACAGGGGGAATTTGGGAGCCTTTCACATCATGTTTATCTGGATCAGGAACCCATACTTCATTATCTCTTATTGCATGCTTGCAAATTGTACACTAGGTAATCTAAAAATCAGTAAATCCTGTAACATTTTTTCTTTTTATTTTTTTCCTTTTCTTTTTGCAGTCAGAGTTGGTTTTATGTCTCTCAGTATAAGTAAAATCGGAAAATGCAAACATGACGAAAATGACAGGATGTTAGGATATTACAACAGTAGTTGTTATTCTAAATCATGTATTTCTGGTGCTGACAGGCCAGAAGATAAGTTTGTAAGATTGTTCCATACTTCACGGAATACTTAAAATGAAAGTTCAATTTCAGGTTAGAAAAGAACAAGCTTCTCCCAAAGCCTGTAATAATTCTAAATAAATAGTACTGTATAAAACATAACAAAAGTGAATACTGTGTAGCTGATCTTTGGATATCTAATCGCCATGTTGTTCTAGTGATTACTAGCAGGAAGATTTTCTTCTTTTGCTGCATTTGTTAATAAACCTGCAAATTGACCTAGTCATTTTGTATCCTTTTTAAGGAAAATTTGAAACTGTGATCAGGCAAAGTGATAATGCTGCTGCTAAACAAAAATAAAGACAATAAGACATTTGAAAATGCTTCCAAAATTCAGTACATGGAAAACTGTAAAGGTTGCAAGGATTTGTTTAGCACTTGGCATATTTTATTTTGGATAATTATGGTAGAAACAGAGTGCCACAATAAAGAAGTTAAGGAGAGCTGGAGTATTTGAAACCTGATAAGGTAAATTATTGGATAACTAGATTACAGAAACAACATGTGGAATTCTTGCTAAAATATTCAGATTACAAATTTTATTGCTTCTATTCTAGTTGCTAGAGATTGGTTTGGTGCCCCTGAGGTGGGGCTTTAAGACAAGATTTCACAAGGTATTATTGCTACCTGTGGCTTAATATTGATACCATTTAAGTCCCTGAAGGATGAAAGATGGCCAAAGTTGGGGAATGTTGGGGATTTTTAAAATTTTTTTAAATTTTTTTTTCCTCTAAAAATGATCAAAAAGTAGTATGATAAGGTGGTGTCTTAAGCTTGGTATCTTGAGATGTGGAGAGATGCTAAATGTGGTATGGTCTGAATGAGTTTTGTGTGGCAGGAACTCTTGGTTGCCTGAATATTCACTTTCCTTAAAAGTAGAGCAAAACATTCTTTAAATATATGATCTGTCTGTATAAGGTATAAGACCATTAAAAAGTTGATTCCGTAGCATGGCCAATGCTGTGTATTTGCAAGAGTTCATTCAGGGCAACCATTCTTTCTTGATTAAAAATGTAATCCTCATGTTTGCATTTTCTAGCCGTCAACAAGAAATTGAGGAGAAACTAATAGAGGAAGAAACTGCTCGAAGAGTGGAAGAGCTTGTGGCTAAACGTGTAGAAGAAGAGTTGGAGAAAAGGAAGGATGAGATTGAGCGAGAGGTTCTCCGCAGGGTGGAGGAAGCTAAGCGCATCATGGAAAAACAGTTGCTCGAAGAACTCGAGCGACAGCGACAAGCTGAACTTGCAGCACAAAAAGCCAGAGAGGTAACGCTCGGTCGTTTGGAAAGTAGAGACAGTCCATGGCAAAACTTTCAGTGTCGGTTTGTGCCTCCTGTTCGGTTCAGAAAGAGATGGAATACAGCAAATCTAATTCCCTTCTCGTATAAACTTGCATTGCTGCGAAACTTAATTTCTAGCCTATTCAGAGGAGCTCACTGATACTTAAACAGTTACTCTCCTAAAACCTGAACAAGGATACTTGATTTTTAATGGAACTGACCTACATATTTCAGAATTGTTTGAAACTTTTGCCATGGCTGCAGGATTTATCAGCGGTCCTTTCATTTTTGGGGAAGGGTATTGAAAATCTGTAATGATGTATCCTTCATTTGTTTCATTTTGTTTACCTAGACTGTAAGAGGCTTTTGCCTTCAGTCAGGCAAAAAGCAGGGTCCAGCAGTGAGCTGCAGTACCTGTCTTTAACAAATAGGTTTCTTACTCTTCATTTAAAATGAACATTTTCCTTGAGCATACATTGGACTAATTCTGGGACTTCGAGCGTAAGCCCATCCACGTCTTCACGGAGGATCTATGTCCAGATCATTATATCAGTTTTTAATAACTACTAACAACTCCTTTTTTTTTTCCCTAGAAGTTATAAAAGAGCAGGTTGCCCTTGTCTGAAGTCAAGCTGAACATGTGACTTGGGTTTTTTGTTTTTTTGTTTTTTTTTAATCAGCAGCTGGAGCAGAAGCTGAAAATGTCTTTCTGTGAGACAGTAATTTGCTACTAAAGGCTTTGATGCCTGCCTGCACCAATCATTCCAGGATCCAGAAATTTCAAGGCAAACTTTAAACTGTAAAGGAAATTTGTGCTAAATAGTCATAAGTCTCAAATTCTTCTTTCACTCTGTACCTCCTACACAGTTTATATTAAATTAATATTTTGATTGGCTTACAAAAGGAAAGACAGTAGCAATGAAGCTTCCCCCTTCATACTAAATGTGATTTGACTGTCACGTAACATCTTTAAACAAAAAAAAAAAAACAGAACACTGAGAGTTATAACAAACATTAAGAATGTTAAATTACACTAATTTTTCAAATTTAAACCTTAACTCAGAAGGGACTGAAGTTGAATTTAGATGTCTGTAGTGAGCAAATGCTTCGTGTGTAGAGGTTTTCATTTGATCAGATGGATGAATTTTTTTTTTTTTTTAAAGTATTTTTGCTATTGTCAATGTGATGTGAAGAAGTCCCATCAGTTCTTTATAACGCAGAATAAACTTCCATGCCTGGAGTGAAGTGTGCTAGCTAGTAGCTGGTTACTAGTCATAGTAAGAAGTTTTCTCTTCGTATGCTTGCTTTGTTCGTATTAACTTTTTTTTCTTACACAGACACAAACCTCTGGCTAACTTTAAATCTTCCAAATACTAAAATAATTCGGATATATATTACGTGAACTGAAACACCTCAAAAACTTTCACGCAGTCTTCATACTTACGAGTTGCATAACAGAGTTCCATAAAATTCACCAAGAAAACAACAATTACAAGGCTTTATTTCCTGATCTTGCCTTCCCTGGACTCCTGAATTCCAAGTTCAGACTGCAAATGACAGTTTCAGCTGTCTTAAAATTGTCAAAATATTGAATGTTAAGTCCATTCTCCCCATGAAAGAAGCCCATAGCTCCATGAAGTATGGATTACCATTTGTATTTTTCACTAACAGTAAATGTATTTTTCTTATTAATTGTTTGCCTTAGGAATGATTTACATATTTTTGTTCCTTCTTATCATAAACATCTGCATTCCTCAGCTCAGCCTTCCTTGTATGTTGTTTCTTTATAAATGGTTGAGCTGCTGATGCAGGTATTGCCAAGCTAACAGTACAAATCATTTTAAAGAGGAAGCTGGCGCGTATGGCAGCCGAGGAGCACACTCTGCAGGACACTGGACAAGACAGTAAATATTCAACTTTTAATGCTGATTAAAGGAGTATAGGTAAAGAATACGTAGGTATACTTAATTGGTGAGACAAACTATTCACTTTATTTATATTTTCTATATTACTTTTTAATTTGGTAAATACTATCCAGTTTTTGTAGTTGTCCTTGTTGATTTGTGTGATATTAAAATTCTAGTAATAAATTGTCAGGATTCTATGATTAGGGAGGGTTTAGTTGGTTGCTGTTTGGACTGGGCGGGATGATTTAAATTGAGTACTAGAAAACAGTTTTAGTGGCTGCACAATTTACCGTTGTGAGACAAAATAGGTGGCTGTAAAGCTGCCACTTTAAGTCAGTTCACAAAAGAATTCTGAGGAAGATTAGTGAACATGCAGAAATGAATATTTTACTTTACTAACATCTTGCCCTGTCCTCCCCTTTAGGAAGAAGAGCGTGCAAAGCGTGAGGAACTAGAGCGAATACTAGAAGAGAATAATCGAAAAATTGCAGAAGCACAAGCTAAACTGGTATGTGAAGATGTAGTTAGCAGTTCTGCAGGGAAATACAGGTCCCTTCTTCCTGATTTGCAACACAATTAAAATAAACAAATCAACCCTTTCCAGGGTTTAACTTGTCTGTTGCCGGTTATGTCAGTAGCATTGCTCTCCTTCCCGTGAACATAAGAGACCGGATCCTTAGTAGTAACTCTAGTTCAGGTGCAGTTAATGTGGAGGAAGGCAGCTGCCTTCAGAATTGACAAAGTACATCTTGAAATATCTCTCACAGGGAACACTGAAGTAAGTTTGCAAATATGTCCAGCTTCTAGAACAGAAGTGACTAATTCCATTCTGTTGAGCAGGACAAGTGCAAACTGCATTTGAGACTCGTATAATGTTGCTGTACAAGTGCTGAAAGGCACTTTCAGCCTAAGCTTAAGAGTTCTATGTTATGAAAGTCTAGCTTATGTTGGTCTCCAAGCCTATTTAAGCAGGTGCTTGCCTCTGAGAACATTCAGTATGATTTAGCTGATTCTAATCAATTCATGATAAGCCAAACTAAGCTGCTTCTAAATCCTGATTGAACGCCATTGATTTCAGTTACCCAAGTAATTGCACCTTTTTCAGGTAAAGATGATGCTTCTTAAAGCTCTTTGCTTGAACTACATCTGCTTTAGATCTCTCTGTTCTACCCTTTTACCAACCTCATATGGTGGAAATGGGACAAACAGAAAATTTAAAGTATTAACTGACATAATGAACAAAATAAGCACCTTTGGAAGACTGTTGGAAGAGCTGTAAGAACCATAAGTCAGTGTAAGGAATTGGCTTGTTACAAATCACGTAAAGATGGTTTTGAATTAGGAGGGGGTTTTAGATGGGTTTTGGGGTGGGAAGACCTCTGAAGGTCTGTTACTTCGTGATACTGTGCCTTCATCTGACACGTGACAGGTGTCAGGGGAACTTCTCTATACACACAGTGACTTCCTTAATTAAAATGTCGTTTGCAAAGCAGTGCTGAAAAACTTTGCATGTAAGCACTGAAGATTTTGATGCGTTAGCTGTAGAAAGTTTTCAGTGTTTCTTCTAAACTCAGTTCAAGGAATCATTTTATAAATAGTTTCACTGAAACCAACTGTGGCATCTAGCTTAGGTAGAACTGCTTACATAACTATGCAGGACTGGACCTGTTTGGAAGTTAATACGGACTTGTAAATTGCTCTTATGACTACAAAATATGCTGGCCTAAATTCTACCATTTTCATATATAGGCTGAAGAACAATTGAAAATTGTTGAAGAACAAAGAAAGATTCATGAGGAGAGGATGAAACTAGAACAAGAGAGACAACGTCAACAAAAGGAAGAGCAAAAAATTATCCTGGGCAAAGGAAAGTCTAGGCCAAAACTGTCCTTCTCACTAAAAAGCCAGGATTAAATTGCAACTCTGAACTCTTTAAAGAAAAAAAAGAAACAAAAAAAAAACCAACAAAAAAGCAAAACAAAAAAAAACTTTGTATGGTAGCTTCATGTTGAAGTGGTTTTTTTTTTTCCTCTTTTTTTTTTTTTTTTTTTGGTCTTTTTTGAAAGTCTGGAAAGTTAGCTTGTTCTAATAGGGGCTGTGCTCTGCAATTCTTAATTTTTTTTTAAATTCCATTATGTTAAACCCTTATCAGATCATTGTTGCCTTTTAGAGGGTAATCTGTTCTCATCAATTTTGTTTCTGTATTAGTGGTCTGAAGCAGATCAGGTCACTATGAATGGTGGATGATCTGATAAGGTTTTACTGACCTACGCATCAGAGTTTGACTCTGATAATTGGCAGAACTTTATACTGGGTATTGCTGACTTTTAAAAAAATTTTTTTTTCAAGTCAGTAAATACACGAGTAAATTGCCATAGTATTACTGGACCTCTGTGGTTTATTGTTAAATCAGTGTCCTATGATACTGTCCCATTGTTGCGCTTGATGTTCCTGATACAGGTAAGGAAATAGTTTGTCATTTCTGCTATGAATACATAGGGAGAGAGTTCAGTATTGTCTCTGTTAGATTTGTTTTTATTACATTGACAGCATTCAACCAGCGTTCCCCATTGTGTAAATAAACCAATTTGCTGAATAAAGTGAAAGTCTTAAATTCATATGTTTAAGTAAATTTTTTTTAGTACACTTCTATAAACAGCTATGAATGACCATTCACATTATTAAATTCAAGACTATAGTGGCATTTTTTTTATTTTGCTTTAAACTATTGTGGCTTCTCCTACTTATAATGCAAAATTACACACAGTACAAAATCCCTGCAGTTGTGAATGTTTTTGATGGCTGCTGCTGTTTTCATGAATGTTGGTTTTTATTCTGACAGAGACTTATTTCAGCTGTAGTATCATGTTTAAACAGCTGTTTGGCTTACTGCACCCAGACCAATACTTCAATATCTAATCCCTTTCAGTTTACCTCATAATATAGTATATTGTATAAGTTAAGGTCATTTCCAGATAATGAATCTGATGGATCCTAAAGGATTTAAAAACGGAAGGTTTTTTTCCCAGCGGACTGGACCGGCTAGCATACTTGAAGTGAAAAACAGAAAGTGAGATTCTGTCTAAATTACTGTTTTAGCCAGAAAGCAACTGTTATACAGATCTTGAATGTTATCCATTTATATATACAGGTTTTATTTTGAAAAAAAGGAAACTACAGATTGAGAACTATATATAAAAGTCCCCTTTTTGTACATAATTCTTCTACCAAAACCTGGATTACTATAGCTTGTCCAGTTCTAAAGCTTCCTTTTTCCTGTCGGTAATGCAACATCTGTAGTAACCATAAAATGAAAGTTACCAGTTGTTGCCTGAGCGTTTGAATGTCACTGGACAAAGTTGGAAATAATTCCCAATATTCCCAAAGGATCTGTTTCTGTAGATTTGGCAAATGAAATGTGGGAGCAAGCTGAGTGTGCCACTGAAAGCAGTATTCAACGTGCTTTGTATGCAACCTGGGCTTGGGGGCAGACTGATGTGTATCGCTGTGTCCGGTATGTCAAGAGAAATGTGACGACAGTAAAATACCTACACTATTACTGTACTTAAATTTGTCTATATATTGTATTACAAAAGAAGGTTGAAGGTTGCTTGATGCATAAAAACAAAAGCTGAAGCCAAATAAATCGTGTACGTGACCTGTTGGCAGGAGCAGGCTGTATTTAAAGCTCAACTGATACCTGTATTTCTAAACCAGAAAACATCCCCTGTTCCTTTCTGAGAAACAAGCTATTAAAAGTCAATACTCAAAACAGACCTATGCATTTTTGTTTCCTCTTCTAAAAGCAAGAAGCTAAGTTTTCCTGCGTGCAGCTGTGGTAGCGAGCATTTTGGTCTACATCACTGATGTGCTGCTAAATGGTAGCATTTGTTCCTTCTGCTTCCCGTTGCATAGGCTTAGACTTTTGAGAGGTTACTCTCAATCACGCCTTTAGGACTTCTGCATGGACAGAATGTCCAAATTAAATCACCCCTTCTGCCATGCCACGCCTCCCTACCTGTGTTTCCTTCCCCCTGCCCTCAAAAAAGGAAAAACAACTACATTTGTTGTTGGCTGGGACAGAAGTTCAGCTGGAAGAAGCCACTCTTCCCTGCCCGTAAAGCTCGCTGAATTTCCTAGCCTTTTGTAGCGCTGGCTGGTGCGGGTGGGCATCGCATTTGCATTTTTCTCAGGTTTTTCTTTCTTTTTAAGATGACTGTAGGATTTCAGGGATGCTGTTGGTTTCGGGGAGCATAAAGAGGTGTGTGCAGTTTGGGAGGGTGGTAAATTGACATTTGATGATAAGAACTTGGGATGTTCTTATATTGCCTTAAAACTTGATACCCATCTAATGTGAAGCAGGTTAGAACGTAGACTGATACTTAGGTTGTGATTAAACCCGGTATGAGCTCTGTGGGTTTACATGAGGATATTAACCCACCTAGAAAAACTGCTGTTAGAAATGATGTTGGGTGTTTAATTTTTATGGCATTACAGTTTGAAGTTATAACTTCAAATTTTGATTAGACCATTTTTGGTTTTGGAGGCTTTTGGGTTTGGGTTTTTTTTGAGGGGGGTTGGGGTGTCCCTATCGGGCAGAGGCAGGACGGAGCGGAAGGCCTTGCAGCAGTATCCTAGCCGTGCGCTATTACTTTGGAGATTCGTCAAACCGCCCTGTGAACTTCCGGTGTTCACCATCATCGTTTTTCCGAGCACAAGCGGAAAGCTGGCTGCTGGTGGAATGTACTGGCGCCCTCAAAGCTTAGCAAAGGAGAGGCCATTGGGTTGGCGAGGCATCTGAGCTGCCAAGCGACTGCGTGCCTACGCGTAGACAGGTATGTCGGTGTTGCCTTACGAAAGTGTCAACGCTTCGTCCGCTCCTATCTTGTCTTGAAGAGGAAAGATCTATCTCCCTTGTCTCTCCTTTTCTCTTAAGCTTTGTGCCACCTCATACACCTCACCCTTTCTGTTGCCCTCACTGACTTGGTGATCGCAAGCCCCTCTTTTCTGATGCTATTAACGTGCCCTCTTAGGGATTGTTTTGAGCTTCTGCGCCATTTTTTGCATGTACACCAAATATGAAGGTCATGACTCACTTCTGACTGCAGGAAGTGTTCAGAGTGCTTGGTGATGTGTTGCCCCTTTGGCAAGCAGGGGGGAAATGTTTAGCTCTGCTGTCCTGGTTTCAGCTGGGATAGAGTTAATTTTCTTCCTAGTAGGTTGGTAGGGTCTCGGCTCAGAAGGAATTCAGGTGAAATTCAAGTTGATAAATGCCTTCCAGTTTGCGTTGCGGAGGTGATGTATTTTGGAAGAGAAGTGTGGAGCTGCCTGTGTGCCTAAGGCTCATTGCGAGGCAGGAGGATATGGTCGAAGTGCCCAGGCTGGTACAGTTTGGGAACCAACAGGCCGGTGCAGCTGGAGCTGAACCATGACTTCCACGCGCCTCTGTTGCGTTTTCGTCTGAAGTTACGTTTCAGTGTTATCCCCCTCTCCCCATCCCGCTGTTTTGTTAGCCAACCGAAGAGTGCTGAGCCTCTGTTGACATTTCCATGCTGAACAACCTACTGCTTCCTTATCACCTTCCCTGGGCTGGCACGTAGAACCGAGGGTTATGCTGCCTCAGCGGTCAGCCCCCGCGCAAGGCGACATAAACCCTTACAAAAGGCTGGCCGTGTCGTAGAGGTTTGATCCCCCGTCTTGGTTCCCACCCCACCACACCTCATTGCAGATGGCAAATTAACCTAAGATTTTTTTTTTTTTTTTTTCCAGAGACTGATACTGAGAATCGGTGTAAAAATAAGCCAAACGGAGAATTAAAACGCACGGTTAGGATATACCAACTTCTTTTCTGATTTTTACTACGAGGCTGCTTGACTTCTGTGGCTGTATTTAGGAGGAGCCAGGCTCATTTTCTAAGAAGCTATGGTTAACCAAAATTACAGACGTGGAGAAGGCAAACGAACACCTAGGTGTATACTCACTCCACCATAAGTGCAGAAAATGCATTGTTATGGTGTGAGTGGTATTTTAGGAGCTGTTTTAAGTATCCGGCACACTTGGCCTTTTGTACAAACAATAAACAATCCATTTAAATCAGTAAGCGTCAATCATGCGATCATTTGTCTTTATTAAATTTAGCAGTAATTGCGTCTGTTGAGTTATCTCATTTCGCCTTTCAAAATGGGTAAATTTTCAAGTAAAGATGAATGAGGGTGGGCTTTTCCACTTAATAAAAAAAAAATCTCATGTCCCGTGTATTCTCATTGCTGATGTTTAGACTGATGTTTAAAAGGGAATATGGGATTGTGGGCCCGATCGGGATCCACTCAGACCAGCTGCCTTTTTGTTACAGATTTCCTAAAATCAGAGCCAATATCCGTATAATTATTGCCCGCATCGCTGTCGGAAAGAAGCAGCGAAACATGTTACTCGGCGGTAAATCCATTTTTTTGCTGTAAGGCCGGCTGAAGTACAGGAAATAAAAGGTTTAAGCGGTGCAAATGTCAGAGTCCTGTTTTTTCCCTGAAAAAAGGGGGGAAAGGCTCGCTGGCCCCGTCCGTCCATCCGTCCGTCCGTCCGCCCG